GGCAACCCTAGGCAGGTGGGAGGCAAAAGGATGAGTGGGAGGGAATGTGAGTGTGAGCAGGGCCTGGTGATGGGGAGAGGAGGGGAGGGGGCTCTGGGAACTCTCTGCCTGGGGCCTCCCAAAACCCGGAACTGGCCCTGTACCCTGGGCATAAGTCTGAGCACAGTAGTTTCTGACTGAACAGGAAGAGGAGCAGGACACATTGCTCACTGGTGGAGTCCTGGTTTGAGGGTCATAAAATCCCAGGTTTGATCTCTGGCATCTCTCGTTAAAAGGATGTCACGTAGCATGGCATGACAGTGCAATTTTAAGCAGAGCTACACCCTTACTTCAATACACTTAGAAGGGTGTAACTCTGCTGAGAATTGCACTGCAAAGTGTGGCTAGCCGCTGCTAGAGAGACTGTTGGGCTCAGAACTGTTCTTTCATCGTCCTGTCCCATCTCAAAAAGAATGCCATTGAACTAGGAAAAGGCAAAATGACCAAGGGATCAGAGCACCTTTCCTGTTGGGGGATTTTGTATTAGGAAATCTAGGAGGTGGCATTTTAAAAAAAATACTGAATGGGAAGGAAAAGATAGATAGAGGGTGTTTGGGGGAGGGCCTTACGCACACAATGTCAGCACCTGGAGTCAGCCAGTGAGGTGGGTTATGAGGAAAATTACGGGAGGCAAAAGGAAGCCCTTCTGAATGTATTATTCATGGGAGTCACTTCCAAAAGATGTGGTGCTGCTGGCCTCTGACTCTGATAACTTTGGATGGATAAATTTGTATAGAATATGTCGATCAATAGCTATTAATCATGAGTAGTAAATGGAATCTCCATGTTCAGAGGCAGTATGCCAATGCAGGGGGAAGACAACAGAAGACTGTTGCCCTCTGTTGAGAAATTGACTAATTTATGGTTTTATATCTGCTTACACACGCAACACATGGACTGTGCACATACGTGTATACCATAGGCCTAGAGAAAGCTGTTTGCATCACCTACTGTGCGAGATTTCACATAGGGAACACTTGCCTGCATTTCATGTTAATGTAGTTTGCACACATTCAGCTCAAAGCCTTATGGGAAGAAGAAGCACATGTTAGCCATTGTGGGACACCCCTAGGTATTACTTTCTTCCCCTATCTTACATTGCATCAGACAAGACTTCAGGAACAGGCAAGTATAAACCGATACCTACCTACCTCCAAGTAACTGAGAAACTATCTTGATATCTTTCTGTAACTCTAAAGGAACCTTGATTGTATGCGAATGTGAGACTGATTTTGTGTGTGTGATTTCGATATTGCTCAGTAAAAAGACAATTTGTTTTGGAAAAACACCAGTCTCGTCTCCATCACTGATACTCTCTGGGGCTGGCAGAACCTCCGTAAACTTTGGCAAGGACTCACGTTAAATGTAGTTAGCCATCTGCTGTGAATAAAGCGATTGGCGTAACACCTCTCAAATGCATGTGCTTGGATACTGTTGGAAACAAGGTGGTAGCTCTTTAGCCCTGTCCCAGGAGTGGTGGAAAGTGCCATCAAATCACGGCTGTCTTAAGAAGAAGAAGAGATTGGATTTATACCCCGTCCTTCACTACCCAGAGGAGTCTCAGAGTGGCTTACAAATTCCTTTCCCTTCCCCTCCCCACAACAGACACCCTGTGAGGTGGGTGGGGCTGAGAGACCTCCAACAGGAACTGCTCTTTTTCAAGAACAGCTGTGCCAGAACTATGGCTTACCCAAGGTCATCCAGCCAGGTGCAAGTGGAAGAGTGGGGAATCAAACCCGGTTGTCCCAGATGTTAAGTCCATGCACTTAACCACTACACCAAACTGGCTCTCTCAGTCCTGAACTGAAGAAGACCCTCTAGTGTTTTCAAAGCAAGAAACAAACAAAGGTGGTTTGGCACTGACTGCCTTTGTGTAGCAACCCCCAACTTCCTTGGTGGTCTCCCATCCAAACACTCAGCAGGACTGACCCTGCTTAGCTTCTGAAGATTTAACAAGGTCCCACTAGCCTAGGCCATTGGGGTCAGCGCCCTGACTTAGTAGCCTTCAGTTTATATATTCTTTCTTCATGATAAGAACAGTGGCTCATGACAGCCCTTTAGAGAGCCACCTAAATTGCCTGGAGTAGTTTCCAGGCCTAAAACTTCCTTGGTGGTCTCCCATCCAAACACTCAGCAGGACTGACCCTCCTTAGCTTCTGAAGATTTAACAAGGTCCCACTAGCCTAGGCCATTGGGGTCAGCGCCCTGACTTAGTAGCCTTCAGTTTATATATTCTTTCTTCATGATAAGAACAGTGGCTCATGACAGCCCTTTAGAGAGCCACCTAAATTGCCTGGAGTAGTTTCCAGGCCTAAAACTAATCCTTCTCTGTGTGGCAGTGGTAGAGGATTATATAACAGAGAACACTGGGGGGCTTTAGACATTGTTCACCTGAGTACCAAGGAGGAATTGGATTTCTGAAGGGCCTCTATTCC